TGGGAAATCTTGTCAAGCTTTCCCTCCCTCCACCCAATATATCGTTGCATATAGATTTGGATACCCTTCCTGCCTTCTGCAATCCCATAGTTCCATGATTATTCCTTAGAGCTCTCAAGAAGATTTAATGGAATTTTGGTTTCAAGATGTTTCCTGTCGGACCACAACCACGTTTTGAGGATATTTTCATATTTCCTAATTTTTTTCAATTTGTTCTTTTGCATACTGATTTTATTACTATGTTCAGACGCTTGTTGCTGTCGGAGGCGAGAAAGAAAACAAGGGTCGCTTTATCGAAAAAGTGGAGTTCAATGCGTCCGAGCAGGTGTGTTTTTCACATCTATTGGATTCTATGGAAGTAGTGACTTCTTGAAGTAGAGAATTCCCATTTTAAAATGCTTTTCTTATCAGACATAAGTTGGTTGTTTAGTTGCTTTTGGTCATGGTTGGTCCTCCGAAGGAAAGGCATGTCCGCTTGGTTCCGTCAGCTGCACTAGATGGGCGTGACTTGAAATGGATCAAGGTATGTGATTTTCTAGCGAACACATTACTTTCATTTTTAATTAGCGAGAAAGTTTTGAGACCAAAGTCGATTTTTATTATTTCTAGTATTTTTTTATTCATTTTTTGCCCGACTTTTTCTCTGGGCTTCTTCTAATCGAATTTTCGCATTTTTTCTATCACCGAATTTTCCAATTTCTTCAACATTTGATGATTTTTTAAGGTTGCCGAGACGAAAGGTTGTCATCTGATGGCAATGGGTGCCGGTTCTATGGCTGGCACGGCTTCCGCTGGTCCAGCTGGAAACGTCCACTATATAGCGGTTGCGATAAAGAAGAGCGTAATTGTGTACCAGATTGACAGAAGTGAAAAGAGGCACAGGAAATGGAAGGTAAGTAGTTTTTCTCACGGCTGTAAGGGGTCTTGCGCCTGAGCAGTTTAAAGATTCATTCTTTTACAGGAGTTAGCGATGCCAGGTTTCCCACAGTCTCTGGCAATTGAAGGCGGTCGATTGGTTGTTGGCTTTACCCATTCGTTCCGTGCGTGGGCCTTAGGAGATCAAAGCAACACCAAGCATATCTGTACGTTTATACTCGTCACATTACTCGACTTTCGACTTGTTTAATTCGAATTCTGAGTACTTTAGGGCAAAGCTGTCCGATTGGTGACTCATTTATTCTCGTTTTGTTTTTAGCTTTGGTCAACATGGAAGATCAATCTCTGCAGTTCCTTAGTCAGTCGAATTACGAGGCTCAACTCATGATCGAGGTAGCCGGCGAGTCCACTGAACCATTGTCGAGAGAGTATCTGCTAGTCTTCGATAAAATCGGACTCTACGTTGATGCTCAAGGTTGGTGATAAAGTGTTGTCAGAGTCTCACTTTTAGGCCGAAGCACGATCCCAACTCCGCTTTTCTTTCAAATCTTTAAAAATTTATCTGCAGTCCCGTTATTCCATCTATATTGCATGTGGTCCTTCAAAGCTTGTAAACAGAATCTGGCTGCTGAAAACTTAATTTCAAATTTTTTGGAAACTTTGGTTCTATGCTCTCACCAACTATCCAAAGTAGGTGTAGACGATGCGTGAAGTATTCGCGGCAGCAGGCGTTTTCAATCCGTTCCACCTTCGAGATTGTTGCTTCAGCCCAAGTCCTCCGTCCGCTCTAGACATGCAGTATAGATGCGCCAGGGCGTTCGTATGGCCAGCTTTTGTGCCGAAATAAGTTGCAAGTATGAGGAACCCAGCATGTGAGACTTTTGGCCAGCTAAAGGTTTATTGCTCACTACCGCCTGCCGCACGCCTTAGCACTTCAACTTTCATATCCCATCGGCTGACTGGTTGTGGGATCATCATTAGACACGGAGCCCCTTTTTCGAAGTAACTGGCTGCTTTTGCTTGCCACTTTTTTGTAAGTGGTATCATTCTATAAACTTATTAAAGAAATGTGCAGT